AGTAGTGCTGTCTGTGATTATCTCTGATTTAAGGGGGGCTAGTATATTGGCCTATATGTGGTCTATTATGGTTGCACTTGTCTCAGTCAGCCTGGTTGGTTTAGTTATTGTTGGTATGAGAAGTGTGTTGTTCATATTGTTGATGAAATCAGTTACAGTCTGATCATCTGGTAGGCCAAGGTTGATATTTTAGTCTCCAGCTAAGAGAAGGTGGTGCTTGTTCATTTGTCTGTTTGTTATTAGTGACTTTAGATTCTCACTGAAGTTTGGGATGTTTGTGTGGGGTATCCAGTACAGTGGACCCCCGCATAACGATGGCATCGCATAGCGATTTTTCCGCATAACGATTACTTTTATCGCAAAATTTTTGCCGCGCATACCGATTAAAAACCCGCATACCGATTTTCGTCCGAACGCGTCCAATGTGCCCTCACATGTGCCGGCTGTCCCATTGTTTACCAGCCAGCCTCCGCGGTAACATCCAAGCATACACTCGGAATATTTCGTATTATTACAGTGTTTTCGGTGCTGTTTCTGGAAAATAAGTGACCATGGGCCCCAAGAAAGCTTTCTAGTGCCAACCCTGTGGTAAAAAGGTGAGAATTATGTATGGAAATTAAGAAAGATTTGAAGGGTTTGGGGCTAACCCTGAGAAGCCTATGCCAGTTGTGGAATCCATTGGCCTACTTCAAAGATTAAGGTTAAATGTGTGCACAGTGGGTTGAACTGCAAACCTTTATAGATGAAAATCAACCCTGACACAGCTGTTGCAAGCCGTGCTGGTGACTATTTCAATGACAATGTTATGGACCCATTTTAGGAAAGTCTTGAAGGAACGGGAGGTACCAGAGCTCTATGGACAATTTGTTGTTCGACAGAGGTCCAGTGACTTCTCAAGCATGGTCCTAGTGGCATTAAAAAGAAGAAGGGAAGTAGAACCCCAGAAAAGGACTTGCTACCTCAAGTCCTAATGGAAGGGGATTCCCCTTCTAAACAGTAAGAAGATAATGCTCTCCCTCCTCCCATCCCATCAATTCATCACCAGATCTTCAATAAAAGTAAGTGTCATGTAATTGTGCATGCCTTTTTCAGTTTGTGTGTATTAAAATTAACATTTCATGTGGTAAAAAAATTTTTTTTTCATACTTTTGGGCGTCTTGCACGAATTAATTTTATTTCCATTATTTCTTATGGGGAAAATTCATTCGCATAACGATTATTTCGCATAACGATGAGCCCTCTTGCACGGATTAAAATCGTTAACCGGGGGTCCACTGTATATGGCACCAATTGTTATAGGCATCTTGAGGTTTTTTACAGTAAAATTAGCAAAAATGTATTGACAAATATATATAGGAACTAGATAAAATACTTCATCTTGTGCACCAAAACTGAAGAAATTCACAAAAGGGCAACAATTAATTGGACTGTAGGCCCCTTCTTGAAGCCAGTGTCAGTCCCGTAATACTATGCCAAAATTCTAGCAGTTTCAAATCTTCCGGGAGAAAGCTGGTAGGCCTTCATATGAGAGAATGAGTCTGTGTGATCAGTGTGCACAGTATGAAAAAAACCCTGCAGCAAGCAGTGTATAATGAAAAAAAATGCGACCGTGTTTTGGTTTAATACAGTGACTTTGCGGTGTACTTTTGTATGGTATTTATGGTTGTATTCTCGTTTTCTTGGTCTCATTTGATGGAATGAAAGATTCTGTCATTTCATAAGAAAAAAACAATTTTTTTTTTTAAATTCTTCAACACTATGAGCAAGTTTGTGAGCAGGGGCCTCGACACTCAAAGGGTTAACATTTCAAGCCAAGGCATGCAGTATCTTTGAGACTTTGAAGGCACATGAAGGTGAGGAATCAACGGAAACATTTACGACAAGCAGTGGATGGTTTCAGTGGTTTCGTCAGAGATTCAACTTGCATAATAGGGGTATCAGTGGTGAGGTGGCAAACGCAGAGGCAGCAGAGAAGATTTGTTGACCAATTTGATAAAATCATCGAGAATCAAATCAAATCAAAGTTTATTCTCTATAAGGATTACAATGTGGGGTTTACAGATTTTGGTTATTGTGTGGTTTACATGTAATAAAATACTAATTACAGAGGGGGCCACTAGAACACCTAGAAAGGCGGATACCATCCAGAACAGATCTTTAATGTTGATGAAACTGGACTTTTTTGGAAGAAAATGCCCAAAAGGTCCTACACACACAAAGATGATATAACAGTGCCCAGTTTCAAGGCTTTTAACAACAGGGTCATGTTTAGACCTTTTCTTGATTGAGAATAAAATGTTTTCAATGGTTGTTGTGGAAATTTTTTACATAATTTCCTAAATATAGAACATATAAAATGAATAATATAATAATTGGATATTAAAATATGATGCTATTTGGACCCTTCAAGAAATTTCAAGTGGGGGGAGGCAGAACAGCCGGGGGAGTGACGCCACAAAGGGAGGACGCCATTTGTAATTTGTGAACACTGGTTGTTGTGGGAAATTCTACTAATAATCCGGCATCTTCCAAGCCAAATTGGGAGGTTTCGACCTGAATATGTAATTACAAACCCATGTTAATGTCCCCTGCTGAAGAATTGGGATAGGAAATTTGCTGGACCTCAAGAATTACATGTGGATGTTGGAAGATAATGGATATGAACATCACTCATAGGGAAATGTTGCCATTAGCCCTTGCATTTAGATCTCTAGCTGGCCAGTGTAGGGTCTAGGTGTCAGGCAGGTTATGGTGTGAGCCTTCTACAGCAATTAAATGGTAAATGATAATACCAGTTTCTTTTGTGTACCCAGCAAGCCTAATCATATACAGTCCTCAATTTTAATTTACCAGAATAGCTGGTTTTAATACTGTAATTATTAATTTAATGTCAGGTCTAGCTTTTTTTGTGAGTGGTGATGAAATGGGAATCGAGGGAGGTACAGTCCTGCAACCTAGTGTGACTTAAGTCCCACTTATCTCACCCAAATTACTTGCAGGTAATAATTCAGGTAATGCCCTGTAAACCTCCTGCAGGTAATTTGCTCACATAATAATAACAATAATTCATAATTGTCATAAATGCTTGAAGTATCGGTAAGGGGTGGTTCTTCATTTAGCAATGAATTCATTTACCGAGGTAGTCTTAGGAATGGAACTCTGTCATTAAGCAAGGAGTGTCTGTACTTGTAGAAATAAAGATTATCATCAATCATCATCATTGTCATCATCATCATAGTGTGCTTTGTGCCTGAATTCCACTGTCAGTATCATGAAACTAATAAATTTGGGATGAATTAGTCATCTTTTTTGCCAGTTTCACAACCTGTTTTCTGGTAGCAAAGCTGGTGGTGGAACAGTTTCAGTGTTTACTTATGTTAGATAGGCATACTAGTACAGTGGTCCCTCAATTATCGTCCATAATCCATTCCTGGAAGTGGGACTATTATTGAAATAGACGATTTTCGAATCAATTTTCCCCATAAGAAATAATGTAAATACAATTAATCCATTCCTGACACCCAGAAGTATTAAAACAAAAAAATTTTTTACATGAAATATAGATGTAGTACATAAACAATACAATGGGACATGATGAATGAAACATTAACAACATAACACTTACCTTTATTGGCGATTCTTCTTAGTGTATGGAAGACTGGAGGAGGAGAGACATTGAATTACTGTTTGGAAGGGGAATCCCCTTCCATCAACACTTCAGGTACCAAGTCCTTTTCTGGGGTTACTTCCCTGTTTCTTAATGCCACCAGGACCAGCTTGAGAGTCACTGGAGTCCTGTCTCGCAAAAAAACTGTCCAGAGAGCTCTGTTTCTGGCATCTCTTTAAAACTTCCCTGAAATGGGCCAAGACTCTGTCACTGTACAAGTTGCCGATATGGCTTGCAACATCCTTCTCAGGGTGATGTTTCTCCATAAATTTTTCCATCCTACCCCACATTTCAAAAATCTCCTTAATTTCTGAAGAAGGCACCTTCTTCCATCTCTCTTCCTCCTCCTCTGCAGCAAGATTCTGAGCTGCAATCTGTTGCTCTTCCTGCTGAAACTCTTGCTCCTTTCATATTGCAATGATGTTTTTCTTAAATTCAATCGTATTTCTCACCTTCTTTACCAAAGGTTTGGCACTAGGAGCTTTCTTTGGAGCCATGGTAGCTTATTTAGCACTTGCAAGCACTAAAATGAATGGAATATTATGAAATATTTCATATGAACACGTGAGGGGACCGTCGCTCACTGGTAAACAATGGCACACTCGCTGGGAACGGCTCAGAGCCGTGAGTACGCGTCCAGGACAAAAGACGATTAGCGAGTTTATGGATCATTTGCGAGCCAATGTTTAGACGAAATAACGGGATTATTTCCAAAATGGCTCAGGCCGGACAATTACTGAGGGACCACTGTACATCGAACACAGTCATCACGTGTGTAGATAACTATGATGCACTGGACTAATATGGCCTTAAATTTTTTTAATGGTCTGAAGAGATTGTAGAAAACCCAAAGGGTTGTGCTGAGGTCAAAAATATTTTTGGGTGTGACAAATTGTATATCAGACACATCTGCATCACCTGCATACTAGTATGTAGGACACAATTAAAAGGTTAATGATAAGCACATCCCTAGAAAAGGCCCACTCAGAATCCTATTTTAACAACTTTATGTAACGCTCTTATTAAGCAAAGCAAGAGAATCTAGCAAGTAACTGTACATAGAAAATTAGTGCACTCAACATAAGGATAATGTCTAAGACAAATTAACTGATGTGTAGGAAGTTCACTTGAGGGAGATCCTACAAAATAAAGGTATCAATTTTTCTTTATTTAAACAAAGATTGACAGAACTTTTCCCCCCTCTCTGTTTTTTTTTTAACATTGGCCATTTACCACCAAAGCAAAGTAACCTAAAGAAGGAAACCATTCATGTAAATCTTCAGAGCACCTACAATATAAAGATGTAACCGTTGTGTTATTCCTTATGTTATAGTTTACTGAGACCCTGCCAAGGGAGATGGTGCAACGTCGGCTTTCACTCTTTACTCTCACCCCTGAACTGCTTTTGTTCAGTCCAGGTCGACCCAAGGCTGTAAGGAACACTGTTGGTAAGAATTATTTTTGTCAGGTTAAATTTTTGGAAGATTAATTTAATGTTCAATGTTTAGATAAATATGAATACTGTTTATGCCTATTCTTTTGATATATAGTGAACCGTCAGTAATTCTGCATTTCCAGTAGAGAACTAAACCTTGAGGAGGTCTGCTTGCTACTATATGCCAGAGTTGCTAATTATTCTTTTTATCATATTCAGACGTAAATAAAAAAAATGTTAGTTAACCTTGTGTGACTGACACTTCAGGATGTTTTAAATTTGTCTTTACCACCATATGGGAAGGAGGGGTGAAGAGTTTCAAATTAAATTTTTAAAATTAACAGTTATTTTAAATCAGTTTGGTAAGACCAAAGCCTCTATGAAAGGTGTTGCCACCACTATAAATCTTTCTTTTCAAGAGACTGGCATATTTCTATGTAACGATACATATTTATTCCATAATTATTAAGTTTGGTTATGAAAGATTATAGTTTTGTTAGCATTAATTTTTATTCCTGGTGTATTGTTCATTATGAGATATATTTATTTTAATCATAACTCCATACCAGTCAGTGTTGTGGAAGGAACATTATTTAGCTAATTTCATTAAGTTAGGGTAGCACTGATACTGGCCTTGATTTATTAACTGGGTTATTTTTTCAGAGTACTGCATTTACTGCCTTAAAACTGAGCTAAAATCACATAATTACAAAATTTTATTCATGATAATTCTTTTCCATGATGTTAAATTTATTGTCCTTAACCTAAATCTTGCTTAGGGATCCTTTTTATAAAGCTGCATTCCTTGGAGCAGTCATGATCAGTATTGTATGGTGCTACCACTTTCAACATTATTAAATTACTTCACATTTGCTACAGTATGCCTGTGGTATATAACACAATATGCTATACTATTTAATTTTATGACAGCATTTGAAATATCTTGAGTGCATCCCCATTAAACCTGCCTTGCTCCTATGATAATTTTTTTTTTTTAACAAGTCGGCCACCTCCCACCAAGGCAGGTGACCCAAAAAGAAAGAAAATCCCCAAAAAGAAAATACTTTCATCATCATTCAATACTTTCACCTCACTCATACATAATCACTGTTTATGCAGAGGTGCTCAGAATACAACAGTTTAGAAGCATATACATATAAAGATACACAACATATCCCTCCAAACTGCCAATATCCCAAACCCCTCCTTTAACCCTTTCAGGGTCCGTCCCGTAGATCTACGGCTTTACGTTCAGGGTCCAAACCATAGATCTACGCCATGAGCTCAGCTCACTCTGATAAACTGTGAGTGGTACATTTGGGCCTAGATATGAGAGAATACATCTATGTGGTATGTGTGCACCACATAAAACAGATCCTGCAGCACACTGTGTATAATGAGAGAAAAAACTGAAATCATGATTTTTCGATTAAAACAGCGACTTTGCAGTGTTTTTTCGTATGTTTTTTATAGTTGTATTTGCAATTTCTTGGTCTCATTTGATAGAATGGAAGACATATTACAGAAATAGAGATGGTTTTGATTGGTTTTAGCACTGGAAATGGCTTGAAACTGAGCTCAAAGTAGCGGAAATGTTAAATTTTTGCCGATATTCAAGAGTAAACAAACGACCTCACACGTCTAATACACGCCAGCTGGTGGGTCTAATATACATTCACAAATATGGTGATGATATTTATACAATTATTACAGTATTGCATAACAGTAAATCTTCTATTTTTTGGTGTGAATAAAAATTCATTATGTGAATAAAAAATCAAAATGGAATTTATTTGTAAAGCCTCAAAATGTAACTAATGAACAGAGGAAATGTTAGTTTAGTTCCAGGAATACCTACATTGTTTATTCTGGAGCCTATTTTGAAATTGGAATATTTTGAACTTTGTGTTAAATTGGCCAAATTAACAATTTCCGATCACTTTATTTTGTAGTTGAAACAGTTGACTTGGCGATTTCTTGTGCTCAATCGATAGAATAGAAGTAATACTAGTGAAATAGCTAAGAATTTGGTTGATTGGAATAATGTAATTGGCCTAAAATGGGAGTCAAAGTCGGCAAAATCGCCGATTCGTAAATATCGCTGACACATCAAAATTCGCGAGAGCATAATTTCGTCAATTTTCCACCAAATTTCGTACTTTGTTTTATTACCTTCACAAAAAGATTCTCTACGATTTCATAAGAAAAAATAAATTTTTTTTTTGAAAATTCTTGGACACTGGGGCACCACTTCAGATTTGGGCCTTGGACCCTGAAAGGGTTAAAATGCAGGCATTGTACTTCCCATTTCCAGGACTCAAGTCCGGCTATATAAAAATAACCGGTTTCCCTGAATCCCTAAACTAAATATTACCCTGCTCACACTCCAACAGCTAAGGAAATAAGACATTTCTCCTATTCAGAAAATATCCATTCTGCAGTATAAAACCAGAATTGCACCACATACACTAAGCTTTATCAGTGGTTTATACAGCTGTAGTATAACACTGGGACCTTTGTGTTGATACTGTATTGTAATTCTTAATGTGAAATCAGGCAGTTGCTTAGCTTTATAATAAATACAATAAACCCTCAATATAAGTCTGATAGGAGGATTGTCCAAAGGTCTGTTATATCAGAATGTTGAAAACATAAAAAAAAAAAATGCACTTGCATAATGTATATTACAAACATGTTGGAAATAAAGGAGTTAAATAGTACAATTTAACCACTGGATTTTTGCCTCCAATTTTAAGTCTGTTATATCGAGGATTTACTGTACATGTGCATCTTTAAGGATATTGATTCATTTGTTAATGATTTTTGGTATGTTGCTAATTACATGTATTTTATGCTACATACAACTCTCAGGAGGCCGCATTTAACAGTGTAACCATTCACAGACTTTTCAGTTAACAGGCCAAGCCTCTGGTTAAGCTAAAAGAAAAAAATAAATCAACCTAAGACTAGGGTAATGTCATTATTTTTTCTAAAATTAATCTTTCCTTCTGATGTGTAGTAAATTCTTGCTGTATATGCTAAAGTAACCCAGTTTTAATTGAACCTATAGATGTGGCAGTCTTTGGTTTCTACTTTATAATAACAGTACTTTATTTCCTCTCGGTTAGATGTAGGATCTCTTTCATAATACATTATTGTATTACACTAAAGTTTTAGTTTGTCATTTTTACTCTCTGTGACTGCATGTCTCAATCTATCACTACCTAAGATAGACAACAGTACTTAATTCTTTAGCAATATTAACCATAAATTCTCCTAAGATATAGTTGGAGGCATTATAACCATTGTTTACTTAATTTCTTTCTCAGAGTAATGTTAATAGCAGCATGTTCTCACAATAGAAAATCAGTGTGATATCTTCATTGCAGGTATGGATAGGTGGCGTGTGTACAACCTGAGACTCGACAGCCAAGAAACCCATGATTTACGAGTAAGGCGTCCAGACTCAAATATTGCCCAACTTGCTCTTAAGGTTAGTTTTTTAAATATGATTAAAAATATGTTACAGGTACAGTATCTCAAACTCAGCTCTCATTTGTAAGGGTTTTCTGACATAAAGGTTTTCTGAATTCAAGAGTGCATGTTCAAGATCCTGAAATCCTTAATATTCTACCAGTTTTTCTTTTTCGGGCTACCCTGCCTTGGTGAGAATCAGCCGATATGTTAATAATAAAAAAAAATAATAAAATTTAATCCCACCCCTCTCCCCGACACCCTAGCATTTATTTTTACAACCCCATCTATAAATATGTTAAACCACCATGGTGACATTACACATCCCAGTCTAAGGCCTACTATTACTCTTACTATTCCCTCTCTCCTATACACCGTAACCTGAGCCTCACTATCCTCATAAAAACTCTTTACAGTATTTAGTAACTTACTACCTATTCCAAACACTTGCAACATCTCCCACATTGCTTCCCTATCCACCCTATCATATGCCTTTTCAGAATCCACAAAAGCAATGAAAACTTCCCTACCTTTATCTAAATGTTATTCACTTATATGCTTTAATGTAAACACTTGGTCTACAAATCCCCTACCCATTCAATAGCCTCCTTGTTCATCTGCAATCCTGCTCTCTGTCTTGCCTCTAATTCTTACAGTAATAACCCTACCATACACTTAGTAAGATATATGCTAACCTATTGTGCTGGAGAAAATACTGCACATAAATCTATATTGTAAGGATATTCAACTGGGCATTATGACTATATTCTTTTGCAGAGTGGAGGAGGAGTATTTTCCATCACAGCACTTCGAGAAGATGACAGAGCAGCATACTACATGAAGTTGTTCAGAAGAGTCCTCAGTAGAGCCTTTGTCAAAGTTGTTAGTAATGCATATAAACAGCAGAGAGCCTCTTCAGTTAATTAAATATTTAAATTTATCAGTTCTTTGCACAAATTGCTTTTCATAGTATATATTAATAATACAGTATTTTTACATATATCTGACTCCTAATGATTGTTATTGTATGAGGAATGCATTTAAATCTAAATGAACAGATTAGTTGCAAGTCGAGTTTAAGGCTTTAATGAACAAGGATACGTCTAAGAAATTTTATCCGAGCTCGAGAGACTTGCCTGTATTGTTCATTATGGTACAGTACTGGATTTTGAGATATCATTAACCTTTGACAGACAAAAGTTTTTCTCTTGCAGGCAGATTTTGCTTTCCTTTTTTTTTTTTTTTTTAATGTCCATTACAGTACATCTTCAATCTGCATGACCCTTGTCGGTTTAGTGCTTTCTTTGATTATATAATATCTCCAGTAAGTCATTAAACCGAATTTGGGTATACATTCCCTGTGTTCACATAAATCCAACAAACAGAAATCTCAAGTGCTACTTTTATGTCTATTTTTTTTATTCCTGTTTTTATTTGGCTATTTGTGATATTTATTGGGTAATGCAAAAGCAATGTGGATTTTCTTTGCAATTTTGACCATTTGGTTTTCTTCTTCCTCTGACTAACATTCCAGAATTCCAAAGAAGCTCTGGTCCCAGTCATTTCTGATAACTGAAGCCAAATATTTTAAAATATATTACTAAATATAGTCATGCCATAACTGAAATAGCCTTGTCTTACTATGGTTTCTTTATTTTTTATATGTCCTACATATAAAAAATAGAAGGACAGTGTGTTCAAAGTTTTCTATATATTTAAACTGTGTTTAAAATTGATTACACACAATACTCCAACAGATAAATATACTTTTCAAAAGATGTTTGTGACTGAGCATGAGTGCCAACACTACCCTGTTTCCCATTGCTATATTATTATTATAATCAAAAAGAAGCGCTAAGCCACAAGGACTATACAGCGCTGCAGGGCAGGAAGGAAGCGAGGGCATCAGGTGGCAAAAGGGAGATGGATGAGTAATAGGTTACGGATAACAGCGGGGTAGTGGATGGTGAAAGGGTAAAGGGCAGCAAGAGACTGAACTAGAAAGGGCTGAGGGGAGTGCGAAAAGTATCATCAGAGTTTGTGGAGTAAATCAGTCGTTCCCATTGCTATAGTTTACATAGATTTTCCTCGAGGGAATCCAAGACGAATAAGGGACAAACAACAAAGCCACAGTAAATTAAAGATGTTTACCACAGGTTTGGTGTTTCTGTTCCTTATTCATCTGTATATTGTAATGTGTTTATTTTATGGCTTCTATAAAGTTTGAACATGACAAGCATCTGGCATACTGTCAGTCAAGCATGTGCCGGTGATCATAATACATGTATTGTACTGTACATTACTGTAAATGAAATATACAAATTTAATGTTTTTAAAATAATTCTGAAGCATTGATTCATTATTTTATTTGTCCTCTGATCACATTATATAACACGAAAGAAAACCACTTTGTGCCACCAGAACTAGTTTTTGTGCACACTACATTATTTTGCGGTTTTTACATTTTTTTCTTTTCTTTTCCATTTTTTTTCTATTCCTACTAACATTTGGGGCCTGAGAGACCAATACTGTATATAATGTATACTATATATAAACTCACTGTATTGAACACAATAACCGCACTAAAGTTATTATCATATTATTGTTTACCACTGTTGTTTATTACAATAAACATGCACAAATCTTGTATAATACTAATGTTCTATCATATATTTACATATTTACAATCACTGGACATGGTTTTAGAACTGCTGGAGCTTGTGGAACTCCTTGAAACAAGGCACCATGCACAGAGGCACCTTACATTCCTCACACATAAACCGAGTGTCTTTGCGTCTTTGTTGCTGTCGTTTTGTTTGTGCACAGACGATGCATCTCTTCTGAGCAAATTTCTTCTGAGTTGAAGGAAGTTGTATTATGAAATGATCACCTTCCCTCCTCAAACGCTTGGGTATATCCTGAGGAATTCGAGGACCTTGTTGTATAGCAGGTGTTCTTACCTGGTACAGTGGACCCCCGCATAACGATATTAATCCGTTCATGAGAGCTCATTGTTATGCGAAATTATCGTTATGCGAATGAATTTTCCCCATAAGAAATAATGGAAATCAAATTAATCCGTGCAAGACACCCAAAAGTATGAAAAAAAAAAATTTACCACATGAAATATACATTTTCCTACACACAAAGAGAAGGATACATGCACAATAGTAGAGCAGTACATGCACAGTATATATTGTGCATGTACTACTCTACTAAATGAAGAATAAATGACACTTACCTTTATTGAAGATAAAGCAATGACTGATGAGACACTGTGTCCTGGGAGTGCCTTTTCCTCCTGAGTACTGTAGGTCCTGTTTGGCATTTTCTTCCAGAACAGGCCTTTTCACACTGTGTATGTCATTACGATTCATAATTCTCTCAAACCAACCTTTGCTGGCTTTAAATTCACCAATATGAGCACTAGTTCCAGGCATTTTTCCCTGTTCATCTGGATGTTAGTTGACTGGTGTGGGTTGCATCCTGGGAGACAAGATTAAGGACCCCAATGGAAATAAGTTAGAGTCCTCGATGATGCACTGACTTTCTTGGGTTATCCTGGGTGGCTAACCCTCCGGGGTTAATTGTTTCTCGGTAATTGTTTCACGTTAAGCCACACCAACAACACTCTCTCCACATCTTCGAGTAATACAGCTGGTGGTGCAGCAACAACAGCAGCTGTGGTGCAGCTGACCATGGTGCAGCAGCAGCTGGGTGCAGCAACAGCTGATCATGGTGCAGCTGCAGCTGTGGTGCAGCAGCAGCTGTGGTGCAGCAGCAGCTGACTGTGGTACGATAGTATTTATCACCCTTTTTACCACAGGGTTGGCACTAGAAGCTTTCTTTGGGCCCATGGTGGCTTATTTAGCAGTTACAAGCACTATAAATAATGGAATAATACAAAATGTATCGAATGTATGCATGCAACCGGCCACCCTGGCTTGTAAACAATGACTGGCAAGGCAGGCGCTCAGGCTGGACGGACAGTTCGGGACGAGTCATGTTCAGAGACAGCTGATGGTGCAACAGCAGCTGACCGTGGTGCAGCAGCAGCTGACTGGTCCAGCAACAGCTGACTGGTCCAGCAACAGCTGACTGGTCCAGCAACAGCTGACTGATTCAGCAACAGCTGACTGGTCCAGCAACAGCTGACTGATCCAGCAACAGCTGACTGATCTAGCAACAGCTGACTGATCCAGCAACAGCAATTCTTAAATCTCTCAAACCAACCTTTGCTGGCTTTAAATTCACCAATATGAGCACTAGTTCCAGGTGTTTTTCCCTGTTCACCTGGGTGTTAGTCAACTGGTGTGGGTTGCATCCTGGGAGACAAGATTAAGGACCCCAATGGAAATAAGTTAGACAGTCTTCGATGACACACTTTTTTGGGTTATCCTGGGTGGCTAACCCTCTGGGGTTAATTGTTTCTTGGTATTCTCAATAAGCCACACCAACAACGGTGCTACAGCAGCAGCAACAGCAGCAGCAGCTAACAGTGCTACAGCAGCAGCAGACAATGCTACAGCAGCAGCAGACGGTACTACAACAGCAGCAGCAGCAGCAGCTGATGGTGGTACAGCAGCAGCAGCAGCTGACGGTGGTACAGCAGCAGCAGCAGCTGACGGTGCTACAGCAGCAGCAGCAGCTGACAGTGCTACTACAGCAGCAGCAGCAGCATCAGCAGTTGACCATGGTACCACAGTATTTCGATAATATTTCTCACCCTTTTTACCACAGGGTTGGCACTAGAAGCTTTCTTGGGGCCCATGGTCACTTATTTTGCAGATAAAATCACCAAAAACACTGTAATAATACGAAATGTTACGATTGTATGCTTGGATGTTACCGCGGAGGCTGGCTTGTAAACAATGCCACCAGCGGAACATGTGAGGCTGGCTCAGGCCTCACATAGACGTGTCTCGGACGAACAGCGTTGAGCGGATTTTTTAGAGGTATGCGAGGCAAAATCTTAGCGATAAAATGTATCGGTATGCGGATTTAACGTTATGTAAGGCCAACGGTATGCGGGGGTCCACTGTACTTCATTATGAGTTGTCTGACAACAGACAAACAAAATTCACCATACGGTGGTCTGTTGCCAGTCTTTATTTGGTACATACTATATGCATTGAGCATTGAAATGTCCATGAGATGGAAGAAAAGTTTCATGTACCACTTGTAACTCTTACGAACACAGTCAACAAAACCAATCTGCATGTCACATTTGTCAACCAAGCGCATGTTTTGTGTATAATCAATCACTGTCACTGATTTTCGAATACGTTCATTAGTCACTCGATCAACTTTGCCACTGTCTTGCATTTCATTACGGTGAATGGTTGTCAATAATGTGACATCTCGTTTGTCATGCCACCGTAATGCCATGATGTCATTGGCAGTAAACACCTGCACGTCATCACCACAAGCACCTGCGTTGAGCCTGGGCATATGTTTACGATTAGAACGCACTGTGCCACACACATCTGTCTTGTTCACTCGCATGAAATCACTGAATAATGGGCTTGTGTACCAGTTATCGGTATATAATGTATGCCCCTTACCAAGATAAGGTGCCATCATGTTTCTCACTATGTCACCTGAGATACCCAATAACATCTTGGTATCTTTCAATGTTTTACTACCCGTGTATACAACAATACCCGTGTATACAACACTGTCACAATCGCAGAGTACAAACAGTTTTATACGAAAGCATTTCCTCTTGCTCTGTATGTACTGCTTGAATGACAGTCTACCTTTGAACAAAATCAAAGACTCGTCAATTACAAGATTCTTGAATGGATAAAAGTATATGCTGAACTTTTGTTTGAGATACATGAAAACATTTCTAATCTTGTATAACCTGTCACTTCTGTCAGGCCTGGTTTTGTCAGAGAAGTGCAACATACGTAAGAGTAAGATAAACCTGTTCACTGGTATGATTTCACTGAAGACCGGGGTAGAAATTAGCCAATCTGTGGACCAGTATGCTTTTATATTATGCTTATACACATGAGGCATAAGCATTATTGTTGCTTATGTAGTCTTGACTGTGGTGATAAGATCGTATTTGCCATGGTGTACTCAAAATACTTATTACTTTCCCTGACAATAGTTTCCATCAATGGCTGGTCAAATAATAATTCAAAGAATTCCAGTTCATTGGCCGTGGTTCCAAGGGGACAAGTAGGTAGAATTCCACTTTGAGAGTCATCAAAGTGGTGAGGCTTGGGAACAAAATTGGGATTTTGCTGCCAATCCCACATACGGTTTGCTGGTGGATACTGGACATCATAGGCTGGTTGTGCGGGTGGTTGTGGTTGTGGTGGGCTGGTGGCTGACGCTCCACTTTGTCCTTGAACTGACGAGTCAGCAGCGTGGGTCCCAACGTGGGCTGGTGAGTCACGCATGGCGGTGCCACTACCATCACCACTAACACCATCCACTGATGCCTGTGGTCTATCCGTGCCAAGTGTAGCCACATCATCCTCACTATCACTACCTAAAACTGGTGTAGGGCCACAGGATGTACTCCGTCCCCTGGGCACAGCATAGGGTACACTACCCGAGCGCATGCGGCGGCGAACATACCGACGCTTCACTGGTGAATATGATTCCTCACTATCACTACTCGAATGATCGTCGAGCGCAATAAAATCACAATCCACGTCACTATCATCATCATTATTACTGAAGTCAGAGGCCTGGCCACGTGAAAATATTAGTTTTCTCTTGCGTTGAGGAACAACCGACAGTGAGTCACGAGTGCCCACACCAGAGGTAGAAGGTTGAGGATCGTCAGGGTTTTCTGCACTATTATCGATATCCTGGTCATTCTTTTCGGTCACTAACTGATCAAAGCCATAGAATTCGTCTTCATTTCCACTTCCATCACTGTCAGAACTATCAGATAGGAAGAGGAGAGTCCCAATTTTCCGGGGAGTGAGAGCTGACTTGCGACGAAGCATGGTGAACAAGGGTAACTGAGCCGGCGTTCCCACAATGCTATGCGGGCGCCTAGATTTTTTGTTTATGGCGCACACCCACCACGCAGACCCGTTCTCTCACATGTAGGCCTATGAGCGTTTTCGCGCTAAATTTGACGGCGCTAGAATTTTGGCGTAGATCTACGGTTTGGACACTCAACGTGAAGCCGTAGATCTATGGGACGGACCCTGAAAGGGTTCACTTGTTAACTATCCAAACACTGATCTACGTGTTCACTGCTAGCGCTTCAAATATTTTGAAAAAAAAAAAATGAAATAAATTATTATAATCAAAGAATATTTCTGCAAACCCAACACCATCAGATTTAGAACCATCTGTATAAACAGCAGTGACATGAGCATGTG